GATGCTTCCAAACTTGAGCAGCGACAAGATACCAAAAAAATTGACAATCAAGTTCAATCCACATTCGCTCTTTAACAAAATTAGTTCGTCAAGCTTATTTGCAAGTCGAAAAAAGCGAAATAACAATACAGGCTAATACTATTTTGATCTTTCAACTTGCACTTATCAAGCACAATTTATTTTATGTTTAACTGTTTCGTGCTTATTACGAAGGTAAACGCTGACGCCTGTTTTATGGTTCAGAGCTTCTCTAAGCCAATTTCCAGCTACAATTGATACTATCTGCTCTGTTTACCTTGTGACACGTAGATTGTCTTAAAATAAATACTGTTTATTAGGACAACTTAAACAAAACTGAGGTAGGCTCAGAGATGCAAATTTGTTGAAGATTATTATACTTTCTTATAAAAACATTTGTTACACTGCGAATTTTAATAGGCATTTTTCATTTTTTTCATTCTTGCTTGATGATGACTTTGAATTTTTGGTAATGGAACTGACTCGGATGAGGCGTTAGTTAAGATTATATGAGTACTACTTGAAAGCAAGGCTTTTTGGGGGTTTACACTAGGAGAAAGGAAAATCAGTTAGAAACTTTATATATATATATAGAAAAAAGAAAATGTACTCTTGGGTTTCTTGGATAAATTACGAACAGCAGATAAAAACATGCAAAGAAGTTGCCAGTTTCTATGGAATGTTGTAACCAATTCGTTACAAACACAATTCGATAAAATATAATTTTCCTGATAACGCGTTTTGATTAATCATTAAAACAAGTGCCTGAAAATATTCTCAAGTACTTTACGCGTTTCGAGTACTTTTCGAGCGATACTGCTGTTTTCCTTGAGTGCCGATATTATGCAGTATCGACGCCAACTTGCAATGCCCTAAAATCCCGTTTGCATTGCTCAGAAGACAAAAATATTTTTGATCCACGTGCACTTCTCATTTACAGCACAAAACACATACAAATTAATGTGATCTTTCAACTAGTAGCAGTTTCAGTTACCAAAGTCACTGAACAATGATGGACAATCTAGATCAGAGTTTTCAGCAAAAAAT